ACATTTTCTTATCCACCAACTTATTATTGATTTGAGGCCATAGCATTTCAATGGGCACATACATGGTGATCGGGTATGTCATTAGTACGGCAAACGCGTACATCAACTGGACACTTTGGAAAATGGGTTCTGTCAATTAAAAATGTTATTTTCATTATGTTTCATAATTAATTGTTTTAATTTTATCCTTACCATTAGGCAGGGATAGTGTGACACTAGCGCCTACATCATCACCATATTTCAGGTATCCCAATAGGCCGAGTAGAAAGTTCAGGCTAATTATAATGATGTTAACCAGGTCTACTACGCCTACTATGGGACGGGCGAATGCCTTAGGGTTGGCCATTGTGCGGTATAGTGGCATGCCCTAGTTAAATTAAAAAGTATAATGATATTTTGCTATAAAATACACTAGCTACTTTTACTTACTATTGAAATGCCTTCAAAGTTGAATATAGTTGTTACAAAATATAACGGGAACTTTGATCCCACCTTTTTCCTAGTGGACAGGGAGTCCTTATCGAACTGTACAATATTGTAAAATATGATACCCAGACCGAGCACCTGTAACAAATTGGCTATGGCCGATGGTATAGCCAATATCCTTACATTCTTGATAAATTGTAATAATATGATCAAGGGCAATAGTACGGCTAAATAAACATCCAGTGAAATGTCTGAGCCAAAAAGGTCGTAATTGTCGAAAAACTAGTTAATGCAGTAAGGTCGTTTAATTTAAATTAAAAAATTATATATAAATAATAAAATACTCACAGCTTTTAAATTCTCGGCAATAAATAGGTAGTACACAGCACAGGCTCCCAACTGACTGGCCACTATGAATAGTGATGTTATGAACCTGGCCGTTTTAGCCCAACTACGTAATGTTGGCGGTCCATGTGCAACTGTTAGCTCGGCGACCTTGATAAAAAATAATAATATTTTTAATGGAAAATTTTTTAATTGTTCTTAGTAAATATTTATGAATGGCACATAACTGAGTACAATTTTTATAACATTATATAAATTATATAAACTGTAGAGTAATTAAAACAAATAAAATATTTTTACACTTCAATTCATTAATAAAATTACTACACAATGTAGTAATCCTTTGTAATAAATGTTTTATAACACATTGTGTACCAAGCACACATGAACCTAGAAGTTGTGTAAAGTACTCTAGGTGTAAAATAAATTGCTTTATTACCTGTTCATAGTCCTGTACGGGTAGCTCCAGTTCATCGCATATGTATTCATTTACTCTGACCAATAGGTGCACACAATATGTGGTTATAATACCGATTATAGGGGTGCAGATTGACGCAATTACTAATCCACCATCCCTATACATAAGTTAAATTAAAATTAATTAACAATTTTGAAATCCAAAATTTAAAATTAATTTTTAAATCTCAATATCTGTAACTAATTTGTAAATTTAAAAAATGTACAGTATTTTGTATGTTATACAATGCATTATATTAAATGTATTTAATATTTATCACTGGTAAATTATCAACATTTCACCTTATCTAGTATAAATAAACTATCTTATTTGATAATCTAATAATTAATAATTAATAAATAGTTAATTTATAAATTGTTTAAAAAAACATAATATTGTAACGTATGACATACCCAAACGCCGCGGGCATAGACAGTATGCCGCTCCCTATCTGGCCATTCAGTAAATGGAGGAACGCCTCCAGACTTGTAGTGGTTCCGGGCATGTTATACCAAAATGTAAACCAGGTGATTTTTTATATCTAAAATCGGCAGTTCAAATGTGTACAGCTCGCTCAATTTTAAAATGCTTAAGCTGATAACTTTGGCTACTCATTCAGTTCAAAGGACGTAGTCTATATTTTGCGGTGACAAAATACAAACTAACAAAGTACCTAGTTTGAACTTGGTATTTTTGTTTTGAAGTTCGCGAGTGTCTACAACTCAATGAATACTTACCAGTGAATAAAGTCTATTTTTATAGCAAATCATTATTAGTTAATAGTATTATTATACGTCGGTTTGGACCCGAATGTGTACTGGTACTTTTATGGCACCGGTATTACACCTGTGTACTTTACATTCTTGTGTAACTGAATGTACGGCGATATATTAATACACGTCTAGATTACAATTACAGTAAGTTTTACTGTTATTATTATTATTGTTAATTATTATTATTTTTTGTTTAAACAATTTTTACGACGTTATATGGTATGAAAATGTCGTGAAAAAGTATTTTTAATTAAGTCAGCAAGTGATAATGAAATTGTACTAAACAAACTTCAAAATATATATCATTATAATACGTGCGTACAGTACTATTGTGCTGAAAAATCTTACTATAGTTAGAAAAACAAAATTTAATTATAATATTTAATTGTGTACCTGTAATGCAATCAATACAGTTTATTAAATAATAAATTATATTAGAAATATATTATTACATGCTATGTGTAAATGGGCTAAATATAAAAATACTAAAATCAATATCGACTTATTAGTATTCGTATATTTTTAAAAATATTGCTAAATTATATGTCATTACCGCACACACTCTACTACACTGTAATATTGATTTCAAATAACCTTGCCCTTACAATACTGTAATGCAAGCAATTTATTTAAGTAGTTTATTATTATTTATTGTTATTGTTATACAACTTATGTCCCATGTCTAGTGCCGATTACATGTACATTAATACAGTATTAATTCATATTTAATTAGTATTATAATTACTTTTCCACTAGATAAATCCAAAGTTTTATAATATTACTTGACAATGTTTAGTGCAGTTCAAAAGTAATCTCGCTAAATCCTTTATTCCGGTAGTAATTACTTTATGACAATAGCAAATTAATTGTGTACTTACAAATACATTTTTATAGTTACACCTATAAAGTTATATTTTTAAAAACATGTTAGATTTAGTAAAATAGTGTAATTAATACAATTCTGCTTGAATATTAGTACAACTTTTAAGTAGTGAACAGCGATAATAATACATAATTTCAATAATTATCTATATTTGAAAATTAATTTGTAATGTCTATAAAATATACAATTAACAATTTTAATTCAAATGTAACATTTCAGATTTTTGAAATTATTATTATTAATAACAGTGTTAGCTTACAACAATATTTGAGGAATTTTTGTATTTATATCAATGTACTATAAAAATGTACGATAAATTGTGTATTTTTAGGTATAAAGTACAAACATTGGTATTACAGGACATTTTTAATTCCCTTAATCCAAACATACAATGCATCAGTTTGTGATCACATGAATAGTGCAAAATGACTACAAAATTAAGTTTATATCAATACTATAATTATTCTCTCTCTCTCTCTCTCTCTCAAAATTCAATATTTCTC